ACAGCAACCAAAACCGGCGCACGAAAGTGCATAGTTAATGGTTGTTCAAACTGAAACTGAGTAGGCTGAACTCAGTGTGTTCACATATTCCTGCGGCATTCCTTGGCGAAGGGGCGAACCCACAGGGGATTCGCGGTCTCGTGAGTCGAAGGTTCCTTTATTTCATCAAACACGACAACCGACGGTGTGTATGGCGTAGCTTAAGGACTTGACGCAGTGTGAAGAGTTGATCGATTATACCGCGATCTGGTCAAAACCTGCTTGTTGTTCGCGCATATTTGTCTCCCCCAACGGTGTCAGACGTCGAAGTAAGACGGGGGCTAATAACTTGGTAACGATTAGAGTCAAACTTAATCCACGGTGGTTTACACAGTCGTTGCGAGAACGATCAGTGCTTCGCGCCGGAATAATGGAATTCGCTGTTGTAACCAGATGTTATGCGTTTAATCAGTGATGGAATCTGCGATGTCATCGCTCCCCCCCCATTTAGGAATGAGAGCAAGCCCATCAGGTCCTTCCTGACGGTAGTGGCCAAATGGTATGGTCACCAAATTGTCCCGGAAGTCCCTGGTTCGAACTTCTTCACCGCCACCCATCTTCCCTGTTTCTGTATTGCTTCGGGCAGCTTTTGCATGGCCGCAACCCCCTTCCTGAATGTTGGCTATATATTTGGTTATTCGATAAATAAAAAGGAAGTGAAAAGTCACTTACTCATTTATCATTTATTTTTCTTTTCTTTGGAGCTTATATGTAAAGTCGTATGTCTGCCCCAGTAGGAGGTTCACATGACACCGCCCACAGAGCCTCAACTACACCAGACGAAATAGTCTGGTGGCTGTTAATTCCTAAGACTATTTACAAAGCTGGATGATTATAGCCATCTTTGCATTTTCGTTTGCGAAAGCTTTATTTTTGAAAGTTCATCATTTATGAGAACATTAACTAGGAAGTTAGAAGCTGACAAGCATTGTACCGCTGTTTTAGACTAATCTATCTACCATGGATGTATCGTGCTTCCGAGCTTTTCTGTTCACGTTTCTTTTGTTTTCTGTCTCTAAGGCATTAAATTCATTCTATATAGTATNACCTGATTAATTCGTATACTTATCCTGTCGGAACCAACCTCCGCTGTATTCGAAATATTTTGTTCCCAGATTTAAAGCGATCTTTCATCTATTTTATGTCTTTCGTGGAATATCTGTGGCCTCTGTCTTCCCATTTGGCGTAGCGGTGTTGTAATATCGGATATCTGTTTTTGTCGTTTTTGCACTGGTCATTCAGATTAGCCTGGTGGATGAGTCGGCATGTTACAATGCAAATGTCGATCCGAGACTGACAGGGCTTCCTGTGCTTGATGAAGGGAACAAAAAAGGTATTGACTGTTCGTACATCTTTTTTCCCCGTCTCACTTTGCATCGCATTTAATGCTTTACAGTGGTTTTTTACTTAGCAAATCGAGCTTATCGACCAAACACGAAGTGGCTGGTTTTCTCATTTTGAACGATTATTGATCAAGTCAATACCTCGCACTTCACATGTCACTAACCAAAGAACGAATTATTTTTAGGAGGGAAAAATTCAAATAATCAGTGGCGGTTCATTTCATTTTGAAACCGAGTGTGACCACTCAGTGATCAATCGTATATTAGATGACTCTGAAGTTTGCGGCTTATACAAAAAAACTTAGTGCAACATATTCATTTCCTCAACTCTATGCCGCTCAGAGTAAAATTAAATTTGGTTCCCCGCCTAGCAAATAAAAAAGAAGACTTGGTGTAGGAACACCACATGACGTGGTCTCCGGTTCTTAAAACCTGTCTTCTCACACAACGGAATGCTTAGCAGAATAATTCAGCGCAGTGAGAACACTTAAAAGAAGATGGATTTTTAATGAAGTCAATATGCATTTGTTTGGGGTTCCAGGGGATCAATCAGTTGAAGTGATGAAAATGGGAACTGTTCAACATATGGTAACACCCACTCAACTAAGCTCCGTATTTGGTTGTTTGTGATTATAGGATGACTCTGCTGTCTCGTTCATGTGAAAGAACTTTTAGAAACTGCGCGGTCAGACGATTATTTGAACGGTTTAGTGAACATCCTGCGTAACTGAACATAGGAAGGATTAAGTCACACATTAGCGCACTAGTTTCACACCCACTGGAAAAACTTACTTTGTTCAGAGCATTGCAATCCTTTCCCAGGTGAATTATCAGTGCTGTTCTGCTGTTCTATGCTAACCACAGCGGAAGCAGTGAACCTATCTTTGCCTCAAAACAACTTATGAGCGTTCAACCTCATTTACTCCCAACATCGAGTAGTGTTAATGGGGGGATAGTCACGTAATCTTTGTTAATTTTTGATTGTTTCAGTGTAACTAACCTTCAATAAACGTGCATTTAAAATTTCACTTGCCCAGACCATTGTTTTTGATTAGTGATACACGATGCACATGTATTAGGACTAGTACAAATCACTGAAAACGAACTTGTTCACCGTTTTGTGTTTTATTTACAATGTTTTTTGTGGGACTGATCAAACAAATAGATATTACTTTCTTAACGTTTGACCTGTAATTGAGTTGAATTCATATGCAATTATTGGTTTATAGTTCTGGAGTTAATCGAACCGATGACGTTATTGGTTGAATCCATTAAACATAACTACCCGTATGACTGGCGAACAAAAACACCGATCATAACTCGCCTATCGGAACAATGGTTTGTGGACACGGAAAAGCTTGCACAATCAGCCCTCGTAAGTCTCAAAATTCGCCGTACCATTTTTACGAGCCTAACATTCATTTGTCAAAAAATAAATTTTCCGACACATTTTTTCAATTAATTGCGATAAAATCCTAATTCCCTTAGCGATAAATGTCCGCTAAGATGGATAGCGATCAATGGGTTAAAGTTAATCATTGTTAGTTGTATCAGCAAATTGCATTTTTCCGGCATTTAATTCCTTTCTGGCACATTCTCCTCCCTTTGTACACATCTACTGTACACATCGCTTCATTTTTTCAAATCACGTTTTTTAGTTTATTTCACCGTTACTTTCCGAGTGCATTTTATTTTCCACCCACGCTGACATCAGGAATTATACGAAGCCGTCGAGGTGATTCCCCCAAACCACAAGCCATCCATGCTTCCGTTCATTACCTCTAGACCGCGTTGGTGCATCTCCCGACAACGTGCCTGGGGTGTACCGATCCCAGTCCTGTTTCGTGCTGCAGACAATTCGCCTATTGTTGACTAGTAAGTGCAACATCCTTTTCACAATCGTAACCCCTTGTCGGTCGTTGTTAATTGGTGTCAATAATTGTTGCTCTGCCTGCTTCTCATTTTTTGTTGTTGTGTTCTCCAATGACTATTGATGTCCCCTGTTCACACTGCATTCGACTCGGTTCGCCGTTGAACTAGTGCCATGAAGTGAGGATGTGTGGCGGCGGGTTGTTCTACCGTTTTGATTATGGTTTTGGTCCGTTATCAAGCCAGTCGATCAAATGACGCAACTAAAGGTTACGCCGTGACCGGTATCGGATAGTTGTTTGCTGTATTCTAATGTGACTGCCGCGTAAAGTGAGAACACTAGGAAAAGCGAGTTCACGAGGCTTGTTGGGGCAACGGACGCAAGCAATCACCATGTTACACAAAATATATACTACCACAGTGTCAGGAAATCCCGCATCAATCATCACACATGCATGGGTATTTTGATGCTTTTCGTCACCGTATTTAGAAATGCTTTCAATCCGGCTAAGTATACCACATTTGGTTAAAGTGAGGGGAAAAGAAAATGCAATGGGTCATTTAAGTTGTTTGATTTTACAATAAACTTTCCCAAATTATGAACTGTACATTTCTCTGTTTTTATTCGTGCGTCCAATGGATGTGGAGTAACTGAGATACAGGGAAAACTCCTTCCTGTTTGGGGTTGTGTATTGACTAGCAAAGTTATAAATTTCGTATTTATGTAAGCGGATAGATGCGAGGTGGTAGCTATATAAGGAAAAAAGCACGATGTAGGCGAACATGTGTTTACGGTGAATTCCTTTTCAAGCTTTTACAATCACATTTATATGAAACAATTTCAATAGGGTCAAACAGAAGGGTGTATGAGTTATGTGTTTGGCAATGAGCCCTAGAGAAATCCAAATGTATGCACTGTTTGTATCACATAACCATAGTCGTTACGTCATGGTCTTGTGATCAAGCGATTTTCTCTCCCCTTGGCCAGGGGAGTTTGAGAGCTTGAATCAATTTGCGTATATAAGAAAACAAATAAATAAATCCCTAACGAATTCACGTTGTTGTAAATGGCCCACTGGTCGATTATTTTAGGACTGGGAGGTTAGTGTCTACTAAGGTCATGATAGTTTGATTAGATGCCTACTTTTTCTTTAAATACTACACATTTTAGGTTTTGGGTTATCGAGCGATGTTTCTGTCACTCTCGTTTTCAGTCAATTCATTCAACACATCGCGGACCGTGCCTCTCAATGTGGAACGGATTTTTGGTTTCTTGAGTCTGTGCATGAACTGGTTCCAAAGCACTTCCTGGACAAGGTAAGTTTTCGAGTGGTTGAATCCTACAACAGGGTTTTATGCACATTCGTTGAAAACGGCTTCAAAAATGTAATGTGTTTGAGGGATTAGTGCAAGAATTAGCGGGATTATGTAAGTTGACTTCTGTCGTTTATAGCGAAGCATGACTTGAAAATCTGGGATACACTTGGTAGCAACTTCAACAATATAGGAGCTCTTCTTCAGTGCAGATCCATCCAGGGGCACACGGGGCAAACGCAAGCGTAATAGCTACCTGATCCCGAACAGCTGTTTTACTCTGTCCCTAAACAATAGCATACCACAGTTGAAAAACTGTACGGTGCTTTTCAAGTCCTGATTTACTTATTAGTATATGTCTAAATCTGGATCCGGCTATCTATTGGTTAGTTTCATGTGGTGCTGTTTTTACCTTTTGCACATGTATATCAAATCGGATTGCGATTCAATGTTTTTTTCACACTCACCTTTTTAGTGGTCCCTTTCCCCAGATGAAGTCAAAAAAAGCACGGAGGTTTTTGATGTCTGGTTCGACAGTGGTCTTTCATGGTTGTGCGCGATGAACAGCACATTTATTAAAGGTTGGTCTCTTTGACTTACGAGAAAATCGAGTAATTGTTTTGCTGAACTTACTCTTAGTATGTCCCGGGTCTGTTCACGCCGTCACATATTCCTCAAGGAATATCATGGAGATCAGTCGTTGATGCTACCTGTTGAAGTGTAAAACAACATGTAGCTTATATATTTCCACAGTTACAGACTCGAATGTGCGTTAAATGCTGTTGCTCTTCTGTTGTGCCAGAGTACTTTTTCATACAGTAGATTTCAAAAGTTTGAATATCCTCGTGAGGAAGCTAGGCGGTGGGTGAACAGTAGTTGAACCTGGTGATTCCTAATCTCATTCTTACGGATCATGCAGTGGGACAGTGTTTGCGCGATGTTAACCATTACGAAAATGAGTCGGTGAGCGAGCAATTGTTTTCGGATATTCCTAGTCATGTTCTTACATATAATATAGTAGAAAAATGCTTACAGAATGACAGCCATTGGCTCAATTACAGGTCATTAATCAGAGTCGGATGGAAGCGGGTGTGTGTGTGTGTGTAGGAACTTCTCTTCTTGAATGGCTGGCTGATTACGTTTCGCAAAGATATCAGTATGTTAAATTGGGAAGAAGACAGGCAACCGCAGCACTCAATACCTCGATTGTACTTCAAGGTGCTGTCCTATCACCCTATCTTTTTTCGACTTATATCAGTGACTTACCTGTTACTCTCCCTATTCAACATTTTAAGTATACCGATGATATCGCCATTTCTGTTTCCGTATCTAACCAATCAGAAGTGGCTGAATATAACACAAACCTGTCCCACCTCGTTTCATATTCCACTTTTTCGGGTCTTAATCTGAATCCTGAAAAATGCCTTGAATGTATTTTTACTCTAAACCGTACCCCATCTCCCTCCGACAATGTCCAGATTCTTGGAAAGCCGATGAGCAGAGTCAGCCGTGTGAAGTACTTAGGTTTCACACTCGAAAGTAACCTTCACTGGTCCTTACATCCCCAAAGTGTTGCTCGCAGGTTGAAAAGTCTCTCTTTTCAGATATGCAAACTGCGCCACTTCTGTTCTGACTCGTCGGTGATGAACGCTTTCGTTCAACAATGTGTCCTTCCAATACCCCTGTAGTGCTCTCCTGTAATTTCCCCTGATTTGTTGAAGGCTGATTTCAAGTTGCTGAGACGTGGCCTCTCAATGATCAACCGTGTCTCCCAAGTTCCGTTATCTGTTCTGATTGGAAACGTGTGTAATGCCCATATTGGTGCGTGCTTGAAGTTTGCTGACGATATCCTATCTGATTGCACACATCCCCTACACATTGACTTGTGTGCATGCAAATCCCACCCATCCACCCGTTACAAGTACAAACTTATCCCATCTCGCATATCCGCATACAGAAACTCTTTGTACGGATACTGACCGACAAGGAAAGTGTTCGTTCTGAGCTTTCTAATGCATTTAGTAATTAACTCATGTTTGTGTACGTTTCACGTCCCACTTTTTCACCTCTTTTTTACCAGAATTGTTACGATGGTCTATTTTTTGGCTGAAAGCTTGTATATAACTCGCTAAAGCTTGAATAAAATACAATACGATACATCATCCATGTTAATTTATCCGTTTAAGTGCGTCTGTGTCGCATGTTACATTGGTCATACGGTAAGGCGCTTGTCTCAACGCGTTAACGAGCATCACTTGCGATGGTTAGATCAGTGGAAAACCGGATGTATTTCAAGTGCGATCGTGGATCATCTAGTAGATACTGGACACCAAACCGAACCGGAGAAAGCTTTCCATGTTGTTTATCGTATCCCACTCAATCGATCGAAGGCGGCCCGAGTTTGGACACTAGCCACGGCCGAGGCGAACGGCATTCGCTTACTTTGTCCAAACCTGTGTGCCTAAAAACGACTGGTTCAAGCGCTTCAGTTGCTCTGGCCCAGTGTGAAAACCAAAACAGAACAGAACGTCGCCATTGACCCCAATGGCGAAAGGTCATACCCATGGACACAGTAAACGCTCCTACACACACGCACACACACACCCGCTTCCATCCGACTCTGATTAATGACCTGTAATTGAGCCAATGGCTGTCATTCTGTAAGCATTTTTCTACTATATTATATGTAAGAACATGACTAGGAATATCCGAAAACAATTGCTCGCTCACCGACTCGTTTTCTCAATGCTATAGTGGGAATACTCAAACTGTTGATAGCCATTGTGTGGGATGACCTGGTATGCGGTGCGTGAGACAGCCGGATTGCTCACCGTTCTTTTCTGTTATTTCTTCGTACTAGACCAAGATAGTTGAATCTTGTAGACCAATCTTTAGCCAAACTGGTTTGGGCAATTTGAACCAATGAGAATCGCCTCGGCCACGATCAGTGTCCAAGTTCTGATTGCTTTCGATCGACTGAATGGTTTGCGGCTCACAACGTTGAAGGCTTTTACTATTTNCCGCGAGATTATCCACAATTTCCCTGGGTGTGGAGCCAGTCTCTTCCATTGTGGGTGGTGCCTAACACATTGAGATAAAGGACTTATCGTACGACGCAACGCGCTATTGGAAAAAATATTGCAACTGTTGAGGACATCGGCTAATAGTTTCACAGTTTTCAGTGGACCTTGTTACACAATAAACATTCATTTTTGATATTGAGATTTTCGTTTGAAACTGCTTGCTCTCCAGCGGTATGAGTAAATCAAATACGCTTGATTCACAACAGTCGTTGTTAACGGTATCCAAGATCAGTTTCACCAATTTTATGCATTTCAGTATGATCGATAGTGCAACGGATAGAATACCAGTCGTATGCGATTGGTTTATGGTGATTTTTTCCGCACTGCGTGCTTACTTCTCCTCACAATGATCTTCGCGACTTCTGTTTCATAATTCACTCACCAACTTCCCCTCGATGTGCTCCATATCGACGACACCAGAATCATCATCTGAGAGAAAACATGTTGCCGACCTTTATCTTGAGGGTCCGGATCAATTTCGTGGCTGGTTTTCTGCATCACTGCTTCTCAGTGCAGCTTTACAAGCTAAGGCACCGTACCGGTAAGTGCTAACAACCGCTCTTTCTTCAACCCTTATTTGATTCGCCATTACGAATTTTGACTTTTAGGTCACTTGTTTCTAGACCGGAACTATTGACTCTTGTTACTATGGGATTTCCCGTTGTTAGTTTTCATACTAGATTGTTTGGTGAAGAACCTCAAAATGTCATCAGCTTTATTGCGCTACATTGTAATCACAGGAGCCGTGTTGACCTCGTCTGGGTTGTTTTTTATACGAGTTTAAAATACAGTATATCCGCGACGGGCAGTACACTTGTTGGTGTTGTATGGCAGCCCTTTGATTGACCATTTCTCCGTTTCTGATCATTGTATATTCAATAAAATGAAGTAAAATGAAGAGAAAAAAACAGTCAAAAACATTGGCGTTCGTAAGTACCGGTAAAATGTCTCCTGCCACGCTCGGATATTTTTCCTTCATGTCAAGAAATTCAACCTCTAACGAATACCTGGTTTTGTTCCCTCAGATCATGAGCAGTTGATCATAATAATAAATTTTAATGATAAAATCTGTCGGTCTCTAGCCTACTTATCTATATTTTTCTTCTGGTGTCACAGTAAACTTGTGGTGCACGGATTTACGGCGGATTCCGAAGGTCGGAAAATGTCCAAGTCTCTGGGTAATGTCGTTTCCCCCGACTCGATTATAGAAGACCAGAATGGCTGCGTTGATGTATTGCGTCGTTGGGCCGCATTTACCGGTTTGGATGCTGTTTGTTCCATCGGATCAAAGGAGATGAAGCAGCATGCTGCGTCATACAAAATGGTGTGTTACAATTTTTAATTTATACTTATTGCGAAAACGAGTCGGTGAGCGAACAATTGTTTTCGGATATTCCTGGTCATGCTCTTACATATCATATGGTGGAAAAACTCTTACAGAAAAGCCATTGTCTCAATTTAAGGTTATTAATCAGAGGCAGTGAGTAATGGGAGTGTGTGTGTGTTTAGGAGTGTTTAGCGTGTCAGTTGATGTGACCTTTCCCCATCTGGGTCATGTGACACGTCATGTTCTGTCTTGGTTTTCACACCCGGCCAAGGCAATTGGACTTAGGGGAGTGTTGGATAGAGTTTTGATGGTAGTGATGTGACTTAATTTGTTTTCCTTTCACTTTGTTGTAGACAACATTTTTGGTACTATTTGCTTAGGGATGAATCGTTGTTGATGTCGAACTGTTCGTTTTATACATACGGGACTATTAGTTCGAAGGATTCTGGCGTTTAGATTGGTTTTATTTTGGCGGGGGTGGACAGCTTTACTGTGGCCGGTGATAATCGGCAATGGAAACAATGGACCGCGGGGTCTCGGTTGAAGCAGTGTATGGAAGCAAATAATTCACTTATCAGACTGGACTTTTCAACTGGAAAGTGTAAGCTAAATGCGGCCTACTCTGCTCAGTCTCCATATCCACTTTCTCCACTCATCAATCTCCTCTCCAAGTGGTTTAATCATGACACTTAAGGGTACACTTGGTGTGACCAACATCTCAGATTTTACCCATTACTCATTTTTCAGAGCTACCATTTTCATTCGGTTTGTTCTTCTTTTTTTTCACTGACTTCCTTTGTCCTATGTTGATTGATCCATACTCTTTGTTGTACTGTGCGGAATTTTCAGCTATTTCGTTCATTTAACTTTCTCGTTGTCCATGCGTTTTTCATTACAGTTACGCAACAGCTTTCGATTTCTCCTGGGAAATCTGAATGACTTTGACCCACTTGAACAATATCACAGCTTATCCGAACAAGACCATACTCCACCTCGTACGGTTAATGAGCTTCTCTTGTGTCTTGGTCGTTTGGTTTCCGATCCACTGAGGAAAAATAATAATTTGAGCACCCTGGATTTGGCGGTATTATACTGGCTGGGGCGTATAGTCTCTTTGGCACTCGATCAGTCGTATTCCAGCTTTCGGTTCAACAATTTGTTAGCCGAAGTGGATCAGGCCGTTTCTCGTCTGTCCTCTGTTTATTTTACTTCTGTCAAGGACGTGTAAGTTTCACACTGTCAGCAGTTCACGTTCCATTTGTCCATCCATGAGTTTACGCATGCTCTTTCGCCAAACTTGCTCTTGTTGATTTAGGCTGCATATTGGGAGACTACGCTATTTTAACAAATGTGGCATGTATTAGAAACATTTGCGCTTGACATGAGGAAACCGTGGAATTCCGGTTTGGGGACGGATTTTGCCGAATTTCTCGTACAAAAGCCATCCTAATCATACTAGTTCCGACTGACCACTCAACGGCCTCCAGTGGTGGATTGATTTTTGTACATTCCTGTGAACAAAGCGATGCACAGAACAAGAAAACTTGTTTTTAGCTAACGAAAGCGCAAACCACCCTGGAATAAGTTTGATTCCAATCGTTACCAAGTTATTAGCCTCCGTCATACTTCGACGTCTGACACCTTCTACGGAGACAAATATCTCCGAAAGCCTCAGTATGGTCGAGGGTGGGTGTCTAGGGTTGCGGCTGATCACCCTTCCCTTGCGCCTCACGAAATGCTCCCATACAACCAAGCGTTTCAAACAGCCTCTGCTGAGGAAGCCCTACTCACTGCCTTCTCGTGGTGGAGGTTTTTTTGCACGAAAGTGAGAGGTGTATTAGGCACCTCGGACGTTTGACCCCGTCCGAAAGGCGTATGATCCGATGAACTGGACACCGGCTCCCAACGGAGTGCGGTTTTCGCACACCGCCCCGCTGCCTTGCGGTTCAGGCTGTGGTTAACCAAAGGCTGCGGTTGTAGATTCCCCAAGAAAATTCACTTGCCTTCGCCTGAGCAACCTGGCAGTATTCGGCCCACTTGCAAATCGTGGAGCGCTTTTCTTTTTATAAAGATTTTTGTACTATGATTTGTTTGGTACACAGTCACCAGATGACGTGTAGACGATGCAGGAAGAAACGCACAGAGAGATTAGGTAGAGTAGGTATCTCTGATCTTCCTGTTTGGGGTCCGAAAGACCCCGTAACTGAATGGTTGATTGGTGTATTCAATAAAAGGAAGTAAAAATGACGCTGAAGGTTATGGCAGCAAACCGATAGCGGTGATGATCTTACTGTCACTTCTTATCAGATCAGAAGGCTTGAAATACTGTGTA